ATTATACTTTATAGGGTGATACAATTTGGTTGAATTGCAATGTTTTAAATAACTTCTATTTAATAGCAGTTAGGCATACATAGTATAAGATTCACAGAAAGCGTTTTAATTTGAAATCCAATACTTAACAATGTCAGTGGCACACAGCCACATAAAAGCACACATGATTTTCTGAAAAACTGGTTTCCAGTGCTATAAATTTCTTAATTATTGTGATACTTAGTATTCGGTATTTACTAAATAACAAAATAAAGCATGAGATTCATGAAATTAAATAGAGTTAATGTAAATAATGTAGAGTAATTTCAGGACTGACCAGGCAGCATATATGTGATATAGAGTGTCTGGCAAAAGTATTGAGACCCTTCCTATGATGTTTCCATCCATCTACATTCTAACTGCCTCTTCTAATTCAGAGTTGTGCTTGGAGAGCAACAAGCACAAGGCAGGGTACAGCTAGGACGTCACACCAGTCCATCGCAGGGAAGAAACACAGACCCACTTACACCTAGGGCCAGTTTTCACAGAAGCCTAACAGTATGTTACTGGACTGTGGGAGGAAACCCACACAAACACAGGGAGGACATACAAACTCCACACAGATAGCACTCCAGACCTGGAATTGAACCAACTATAGCATCACCATATCACCCCTGTCGTGTTTTATTTTGTGAAATTACAAAATGTTACAGACGCATTTGTATAACTTTAAATTTTATTCAAAACCTGAATGATCTATCTGCACAATCTGAAGATTTCTAAGGGTAAGGCAAGTAAATGTCAGCATAATCTAAAGCAAAAAAAGCAACAAATGTGTTGATTGCTTAAATATTCAGAACTGTGAACTTGATATTTGGTGGAAGCACCTTTAGCACCAAGCAGGTCATTTTAGGTCAGTCTTTTATGAACTTTGTACACAGGCTTTGCAAGAGTTTTGTTCATCCTTCTTGGCAGATTTGCTCAAACTCTCTCAGTTTGCTTGAGAATATTCTGGACAGCAGTTTTTGAGTCTTTCCATAGATTCTCAATAGGGTTCAAGGTAGGACTTTGAAAGGTCACTCAAGCACATTTACTTCTTTCTTAGTGTACCTTTGCATTTGTGCTTTAGATCGTTATCCTACTGAAGGTGATTTTTTGTCACAACATTAAGTTTCCTCAGGTATTTGCCTGTATGTTTCTTAATCCTAACAAGTTTTCCATTCCCTGCTGTGGAGAAGCACGCACATACAGTAGCATGATTATCCCACAACTTTGCTTGACAAGTAGAGGTGGTGTTGACTAGGATATGTGCTGTGTTGGGTTTGCACCAAAAGTTGAATGTGGCATTTAGACCAAAACATTCCACGTTTATCCATAGCACACTTTTAGCAGGATCATTCAGGTGACAAACTTTATGCCATACAGGCTAGTTTTGTGAAGTACTCTGGAAGGTATTGACTGATGGCAGATTTTCTCTCATCTCAGCCATTGAACGCTTTAGCTCTATGAAAGTTGTCTTTGGACTCACAGTGATATCCCTCACCATTTCCCTCCTTGCCCAGCTGCTTAGTTTGGAGGAGCAGCCTGATCTAGACAGTGTCTTGGTATGTTTTCCACTACTTGATGATTGAGTAGACTGTACTCATAGGGATGTTCAGAGACTTAAATAGTTTTTTGTACCCTTCTCCTGATCTGCGGTTTTCTCTTTTTGACTTTGTGTCTGACTTTGTCACAGCACAGGTTTTTTCTTTGATATTATATTTTTTCTTGTATTTTTTTCATTCAGTGTATAGTATGTAGTAGCTTGTGTATACAACATTGGTACTTCAGTGTCATTACTGCAAGCTTTAAAGCAACAAAATCTGTGAAAGGGTCTGAATACTTTTGTAAGTCATGGTACATTCATGTTAATAACATATACTTTTAAGAATTTCTGAGAATAAAATAAGCTAGAAGTAAAAATAGAATAACCCTGGGCAGGACCGCTATTATGCACTTACATTCATTGTTAGAGACTCTTACTTATTATGACTTTAGCAATTTTCAAATGCTTCCCAAATGTCTAGAGAAATTAGAGTTAGTCAGGTATTTCAGAGAAAGGACTGTGTGCTTTCTCTTCTGGAAAAGTAATAACCTGAGGTGCGATTGAGGAGAAGTTACTGACTTCTATGTTTGGCGAGAACTGTATGACTGTTTTCCCTGAGCTGCAGTGGTGGTGGTAAGATATTGTACTGTGGTCTTCTCAGGCAATTCAGATTTTAAGATCAAATAACATTTACTCCTGTGACAAGTGAATTATAGAGTTTAAAATATTCATTCATTAAAGTAAAATAAGACATTTTCTAAAAAATCCAATGTGTAAAAAATGAAATCTAAAAATATTGGGCATCTCTCAATTTTTGCATTTTAAAAATGGCTAATTTTGTAATTTGTGATTTGATGCACTTTCACTGTTGAATCTTAAATTAGGCAATTATTGATCTTATATAATTTTGATTGGTCTGAGTAACCTGTATTGAAAAAGATTAGTATGCTGTTACTGTTACTGCAGCAAGAAATAATATTTTTCTGGATCACTGATACGTTATACTGTATATAGTATATAATATAGTAATTGTATGATACACATTCAATACTATCATTCATGATAGTTTTGTCTTTCTTTTATTTACCTGCCAAAAACAAAACTTAGGAGAACTACAAAAGTAGTAACTAAAAGTAGCTATTGATAGCTAAAAGCCACCTGGCACATGGCAAAGGAACACATGGAAAAGAGAATTTCTGAGTTGTCTGTGTACCAGGAGACACTGCGTTTAGTTGTTTTTCTTCTCTTTAACTGTTGGTTGGAATAACCTGAATAAGTCTTGATGTTTGCCAGAGCCCCAAAAGCTATATTTATAGATATACTTTTAAAAAGATTTTTTTCACAATTAAGAAATATATTTTATCAATACAGAAAGAAAGTAAATCGGTTTGTGTCTAAGAACGTTTAAACTTTTCATACGACATTGTGCTTCTTGATCTCCGAAGTAGAAAGGCTCAATAAGTACTTAAGATAATGTGTAATATGTTTTTGTATTTTCCAGTGTAACTTTAAAGTAAAAGTAAAGATGCAGATCCCATTATACTAAAGATAATTTTGATCTATACATTTTAATACTCGGAGTATTGTCTTCTGAATGTAGACCCAGTCAGTGGTCGTGACTGATAATATATCTTGAATGAGGATTTGAGGCAAGTAAAGGAGAATTAAATGCTTTGAGTACAGTAATTATTACAATAGTTTATTACTTTAATACATACTGTACATTTATAAAGTTCATAAAATGTTAAAAAGGCATCACCAAATGGGGAAATTGACAGTCTTTTACTTCAACAAGTAATTTAGATTAGCCTGTTTTTAAATTATGGAAGGCTGTGTTTGTAAGATATCATTTCTCAGAATTTATCCAGACATTTTGGTAAGATTACTTAGTGAATAGGAAAGTGATGATTTCCAATGTAGTTGTCATAGAAGAAAATACCTTTGTTACATTTGGTCAAAAAAAGATAATTGCTTTCTATTTACAGTACTATAGTTTTTACATAGTTTCTATACTTTTTCTTTATCAATACTTAGTATTTTTGTTACACTTGATTTTCTTTTTTCTAGTAAGGGGTTGCAGAAATATGCTAGCTGTCGTCATTAATAACAAGAAAGTTACAAACTTGTACATATTAATTTGCTGAAATTAAAGAATTGTTTGAGTGTTACATGAACGGCAAATTCGTTGATCACACTTTGGAAAAAAAAGGTTTCCTCCTCGAGTATGAAAGCTTGCTCTTTTAAACATCCAATACTGCTTACAGTTTTCCACTGTCAAGGTACGTAATCTTCAACATGTAAATATATAATTGTATAAAACAACTGAACGTAGTGTATGACTGAATGCACATCTGATAGAAGTCTGAATCGGACTTATGTCTCCTTACACTCATTACTTTAGGTAAGCCAATAAATTAATGACAATTAATTCTGTTTCTTCACTACACTGGCCCTAAGATAGCCGCTTTCATTATCAACCAGTTAATTTCAATTTAGCTTATTTATTTCATCATGCACTGTGTATTCTGCTTTGCTAGGATATCCTAAATGTTGGTTTGTAATCATATTATGTCAGCATTCTAATAAGTCATAAGAATTAAACCTAAATGGTCCGCTTTCACAGTACAATCTTCATATGCAGAAAATAAGTGCCTTACTACATATCTTTTTATTTTGAAAAGAGGCCTGAATATTAAATATCTAGATACCTGATCAGAAAAAAATTCTATACAATTTCATCCTCAAATTAAAAAAGAATCACTCCAAATCAATATCAGGAGACTATGGAGATTAAAACAGCCATGTATTGTTTCAGGGCTGCATTCATTTCACAAGTGAACTGGGTGGATTGATGGAAATTTTGTAATTCTGTCTCTATTTTTGGGATGGAGATGAAAGGCAGATCCCAGCATTGTGTGCCAAGAGTGAGCAAAAGAGACTTGATGCAGTGGTTTACCTAAATAACGAGTTCAGTAAGCATCGGAAAAAATGCTCCTTATTTTTCTTTGGGAACAAGTAGTTCAGAAATCTCAGATTTTGCAAGGAAATGTTGGAAATTGCCTACTTCACAACTAAAAAGTTATTTTCCCTGCTCTCTCCCTGGTCTTGTACGTACTAGTACAAGTATAATATTACATGTACAGAAAAGAGAATTTGTAAATAGTTTTCATTATAAGGTATATAGTTTATTGTTAAACCTTAGTGCAATATAGAATACACCACCTTCTTGGTCTTCTATCATTGACACTTGATAAATTCTAAAGTGGTAGATCATTTTTCCAGTGTGATCTGCTTTTGGTATCATTCATCATTTCAAGAAACGCTGCATGTGAAAACCACATTTTCCTTGTGAAGTGGTTCTCCTAATTACGGTTGTTTAGATAGATGCACTTCTTTCCAGTTGAGCCACATTTGATCATTGCAACTTTTCTAACAGATGAGCAGCAGTGCACCCAGCCCCATGTCAGGCAGTGCTTCTTCAAATGCCGGAAGAGGATCTGGAAAATCGACCAGCTTTGTTCCTGAATTGCAAAGCATGATGTAAGTAACAGTTTTAATGCTTATGTTTTCCGCAAAGGATTTTAGAATTAAAAACCTTAAAAACACTGACGTGTTTCTGACGCCTGATGCTACTGATGCGGCAGGAGTCAAGGACAGGAAAATCTCCTGGATTTCTCCATTCGGCTATTGCTCGTTAGTGTTTACGCTCGTGTCAGCAGCGATTGTGAGTGATCAGTGGTGCAAAGCTGGTGGTCTTCTTTCCAACAGGAGGCAATATTCTGGCCACATCAGAAGGGAAAAGTTCACACACAATCCCACGTGCCATATGCTGTCAGTATATTTAAAACTCACTGCTGGTTCAAAGATATGAAACCACTGATCTGAATTCTGGGCCGTGTGTTGAGCCAGTGGGAGAGCAAACACCAGGCTTTATGAATGAAAGCTGTATAAAACTCTGTTGTGCCTTTTCATTCTACAGTGCAACCCTTAAGGCGTTTTAGTGCTCTGTGCACAAATCAGTGGCGGAACCATTTAAGTACAGACATAACCCTCTGTAGAACATTTTTTTCAAATGAGTTATGGGCAATAGAGATTTTTGTTTATTTTAGTCTCTTGCCACACACTGGATAACAAAACAACCAGAATGACTTGGTTTTATGCAATTATGAAAACTTAAACCTCACTTGTTGGTGTACGCTGAAAAACCAGGTTCAACCATGTAAATTTATCACAGCTGCAATTATTTAGGGAATGTCGATTTGATCAATAGCTTGTAAGGAACAGATACAGTTCCGTTTCTATTTACCATATTTGTGTACAGGAAAATTTAAGTCCTTAGCAATGAATGATCTCATCTCAGATCAAATCTGATACTGTGAAAGACAGTTTTGATATATTTAGAAACAGATTGATACGGAGGTGTTTAAATTTGCCATCCCTGCCCGCTATAAAGTATCTTAGGTATAGTATACTATATCCTATAATACATGCCTATAGTATTAATTCATAGTGATCGGCATGGTACTGTGTATGTTTATGATCGGCATGTTGAACTCTTCTGTGTTGAAGGGTAGAAAATATTTTGGCTGGCCTTTCAGTTTTAAGCTGTATCTTACACCTGTGACTCAGATAATATAAAATGCCAGGCCTGTGAATGTGCAGTGACGGTGTTTTCAACATGAGCTGATATAGTCCACTGCAGTTACATCATCTTGTAAGGGAAAAAAACGTGGTGTCTGTAAATGTCAGCATTGCTTCTGGAAACCCAGACAGTGACTTACAGCAATCTGCTATATTGCATTGTCAAGCAATTTTTTTAAGCAGCACCGCTTGCCTTGATTAATTACACACTTCTCTATGGAAAAGAAAGTAGTAACAAAATAACTTCACCATGTCCAGCATATGTAAAATTCTAAAAAAAAACATTTATTTTTATATTATTGAGGTTATCTTAAAAATATTTTTTTGAGCAAATCCTGTTATATTTTAATGGTAACCTGTTACAAAAACCCATGATGCACAAATGTTTTTCTTCCACAACATGATTAATTTGAGCTGTATGCTTTTTTAAAGAAGGGATTATGTAATTTGTTGCTGCCCAAACACTTTTGCTACAAAGTTACAGATTTTCCTTTGCTGAAGAGAAAACTGCATAAACTTAAGACTCTGGCTAGGACTCAGTTTCATAGTCCTATATTTTGCAAGGCACTTAATTATAGCTTTATGTTAGGAACGTTTTGATGGAGTCTAAGAGCAGTCCAATTTAAAAGATTAGTTTCCACCCTTGGCAAGCTACATCTAGTTCAAAATGATGATACAAAGAAATCATATTCCTTACTTCATCCAAAAGGCTCTTAGCATCTCTGAGACTCCAAATCTACTAAGGATTTGATCTAAGCACATAATTATTGTTTTTCATTAACTTGTTCGTGACATCAGTAGTGACAGGAATGGCGCCTTTATCTATTTGTGCCAAGGTAGCAGTAATTGGAATAAAGACCTGGCAAAACCATTTCCTAGCAAATGGCTTACATCTGATATCAATGATACGGACAGTACAGCTACAGCTCGGTTATGAAAGAGACAAGAATGGGGGTGACAACAATTAAAGTACAACAGATAACCGTTTCTTTGAAAAATATAAATGCAACAGTTAAATTGGTAGAGCGCATGCTATTGATGAATTCCACTTTTTTGCATGACAGATCTGACTGGAAACTGAAGGAAAATGTAAAAATAATTTCCTCTCTTTTCTTACTGCCATGACTGTCTGCCGCCTTCTGCCTTCATGGAGGTCCCTAATTGAGATCACTTGTACTTATAAATGGCAGGAAGTTCTGTGGCTCATGGGAGGAAAAAATAGAACAGTAATATATGCCTAAAATGAAAAAGGCTACTGTTTGACTTCCAAAAAGTTGCCAAGAGTTTTTTTTCATACACTTCATTCCTATTGTTTATCAATTTTGGCAAATGATACCTGTTGTCACAGAAGGACACCTTTATCTTCAGACTTTTATGAAGATATGATTCTGTAGAATATATTCATAGGAACGCTCAACAAAATGGTCCTCAGGGTTTCACACTGAATCCTTTGTGTGCTAATTATTCAACATTTTAATTGTGAGTGCAGTAATGTAGACAAGGTTGGTTTTTTAAAGCCTTGATTCAGCATCATTACTCCTAGTGTTGAGCAAAGAAGATGATCTGCAGCTCTAGGATATTTATAAAGACTTTTTGCACTCCTGTATCACTGAATCTGACAACATTAATAAAATCTCAGAATCTAGATTATAATGTATGTGAATAATTCCCTATTCCTTTAACAACCCTGGTTGTTGTGCAAAGAGGTTACATCTCAATAGTCATTTTCATATGAGCAGATAGTATCAAAAAAGCAATAGGTTGATCTCCCTTTTTTTTTTATCTGACACAAAATATTACAGAAACAGAATTTTACAGAGGTTTTTCCTAATAGATCAGGCTCTGAACATTATCCTTTTTTTAATCTGTTTACACACCTACAGGGCTGTGCCGCACCAGTACAGAACGTCTTAGGTGGTAGTGTGTGGCAAAACTAAAAAATGGAGGTGGAATTTCTGCAAAGGTATATCTGTCTATGGCAAACTGACTGCAGTTCATTTACTGTATCATATTTGTAGTTTGCCTGCTCCTGACTCTGAAGATTAATTAAGGAAAACTGAGACAAAAGCTATTCAAGTACAGAAAAGGGTTATTGATTGCCCGTGTCATCTTCGGAGTGAAATCATCGAAAAGTTGGCAGGCTTCTGCAGGCCACACACAATCGCACATGGCAAAAAAAACACAGTGAAGTGTAACTGGTGTGTGACAGCCAGGGTCGGTTTTCAATCTGAAAACATCTACAAAGGCTGGTCATTTAATACAGTGTACATTTACAAATGCAGAGGAAAAAAAAAGAGAGCAGCTTTTGAATGTGTTCCCAAAACTCCTGATATGTAATATTCAAGTATGCACTGAAAAGTGCTTATGTTGGAAGGAGGTCTCGGCAGAAACACTCCACTCCACACACAAGGTGCTAAAGATAATACAGACACTTTGACACGTCCAACATTCCACTTTACACTTTTCCTTCCTCAGTGTATTTGACTAGCCTACATCCTTTTTCAAAACTGCTTGTCCAACTGAAAAATATTTATAGTACATCTGTCAGACAAGCGGCTCTCTTGTAGAGAAGACCGTATGGGAGTTATTTATGATGTGAGTTAAACTAATATCGGATTTATTGAGGCAGAAATTTGCCAGTTTCATTTTTTATATCTTAGATAGTTTTATAGCTGATACTATATGTGTAGTATAACCTTAGCAGGCAGGTACCACATAACTCGTGAGAAGGTTACAACATTCTTTTTTTCTATAAACCCTTTGCATGGTTTGAATAAAAGTAATGTATAATTTATTGGGGTGAAAAATATGAAACCTCAAACTCATTATTTCTTGCACTAAATCTCAGTACATATGCACAAGTTAATTAGAGTTTGCACAAAATAGGATAGTCAGTAGAATTTACAGTATTCTGTATATTTGTTGCAATATTGGGCAATAGAGCCTTCTGAATTTCCAATTTATTGAGCTTGAATCGTAACTATGATGTATTTTTCTCAAAATTTGTGTACCTCCTGTATTAGATAATAGCACTGAACAATATAAAGCACGTGTCAGTTTCACCATTTCTTGAATCTACAAGCAGCTGCTTATGGAAAGTTCAGTTTTTCACTAGTTTGTAGTCAGTATATTATTGGTTCAGATATGAGTTAGCTGTTGGAAGAGTAGAGCCATTCTACAGATCTAATGTGGAGAGATCTAAATGGTACAGTTCGGTGAAGAGACAGTAGAAGGAAATTGAGTCAGGACGGCAGAAATCTAAAGTAATCTAGGCTCTTGAAGATTATACAGTACATGTGTAATCACAAGGAATGGAAAAAAAACTCTTTTAAAAAGGGCTGTTTTTATCTTTCATTTCATCCAATCCAGGAAAAATCCTTCAACATTTTTTAAAATATATTTTTTTAGCATTTTACATGGCCTTATTATAATAGTAGTGAAGTGGGATCATTCATTGGCATTTAAATCCCTACTGATCTAACTAAACAGCAGCCTTTATTACAATGGTGGAATTTCAAGAGTAATTATTGCAACTTTGAAAACTGATGTGGTAAACTGACTAAGTTTTATTTTCTCATTTTGATTGTAGGTATATTCACTCTTTTGGAAATACAGTAATAATATTTCTAATCAGTCACTTTCACATTGGTAATATTGTCACATTAGTGTGTCAATATTTTTTTTTTCAAAAGTGTATTCTGGAAATGAATTTAGTGGTCTCTTGTAATTAAATTAACTGACTCCCATTATTAAAATACATAATTATTTCTTTTTTTCCAGCGTACAGTTTTTGGCACAAAAGTTATTTTTTAATATGAGCTTTGGCAATATTTATTTGTGGCTGTCTGTTAATGCTATGGAATGAGTATGTCCAGGCATAGCTCACACAAGCATGTTTG